CCTAGACCTCTGGAACCCTGTTTCTGGCCCTGCCTGTACCTGCCTTTTGCCTTTGTACATTCAGAGCAGGGCTGTCCTGCTTCTGGGACAGAGCCATCCCTGTGAGCCAGGCATAACTGGGAAGCACGTAGGCTGTAGCCACATGTGGGGTCTGGTCCTGGACGGCCCCATGCCCACTCTGGGCCGTGGTTCTCTGATGAGCATGTGGGCTCGGTTCCTCAGTACCTCCCACCCGTTTCATCTTCTCCCCTACTGAGCTGACGCTTAGCCCATGCAGGCTGGTCCTGGGTCCTTCAGGACTTGGTGCCCAAAACCATGCCAGCTGGTAGCAGTAGCTGACGGGCAGAGGGGTAGCTTGGCACTTGGGCATCTGTGTACTGTTCCCTCAGGCTTGTGGCTTCAGTGACCTTGATTGCCTTTGGCGGGCAGGGATGCCCATCCTGGGTGACAGTTGAGCAGCAGCTGTGCTGGGAGGGGACAGAAATCAGCCCTAAGCCTTCCTCCCACATGGAGTCCGCAGGCTCGGGGCAACAAGAGCATGCTGCTAGGGACAGATGGGCTCACTGGCCTCACAGGAGGTCACTGAGAGACCCACTTGCCCTGTCTCCTGGTACCTTGGAGCCAGCCTGGGCCATGTGTAAAGGGCTGGCTCTGTCCTCGAGGTCTGACCCATGGCCCCTTCTCTCTCCCTGCCCACCCATTTGGCCTTGGCTGGCGTAGTCTGCAGACCCCATCCTTGCCCCTCTGCAACAGCCTTGCCTGGCTGTAGTCTACCACCTGGCTCTTAGCCATGGCTTTCTCTAAATCTAGTGCCCTTGTCTCTCCTTTGTAACTATGGAAGCACTCACTTGTACACAGGGCACACTGAGCCTGCATCCAAGTTAAAGAATAGTCACAGCAGGCTGCATGATGCCACTGATGGGCCATAGCCTGGCCCCAAGGCATCCCACAGAGTGCGGACGTGGCTGCCATCCCCTGGCACCACCTTCCTGGCAAGCTGCTACCCTGGGCCAGTTCCCTGTCCTGTCTGCCCTGGTCCCATAGCCCTCGGCTATCCAGAGGAGCCTACACACTGGAAAGACGGTGCTATCGTTGAAGAGCAAGGCAACAGACTAGGAGGAAGAAAACACTAGCTGGGCTCTGGCTGTGTTGTGGAAACTGTCGTCACAGCTGCCAGCCAGTGACATAGGCATGATGTGTTCAGTGATCAGCCAGGGGCGGAGGTAGGCAGTGGCTTGGTGCAGACCCAGGCAGGTGGCCTTGGGCTACCCCGTCACCCTCTACCTGTCCTGTTGCCCAGTGGCTTTCCCAGGACAACGCTGCTGCTCTCACGTGCCTCTCGTCCAGCCACAGGGTGCGGCTGTGTCTCAGGTGACAGTGCCAGCCACAGTGTAGGTCTTTTCATGGGACCCACGGCAGCATGCAGAGAAGTCTCGTTACAAAGATGGGCACACTTGGGTGTCTTGGTGCTGTCCCCTACTCCCAGGCCAGCACATGGCAGGTAATGAAGACACATGCCCTGGGCCAGCAGAAGGACTTCGATGACCTGGGGATACAGCCAGGCAAGGTCCAGAGGCTTCTGGTGAGTGAGGGCTGGTGAAGCCCAGGTGGACACGTCCCTCATGCACCTGATGGGGGTTGCACATAAGATGGAATCAGGCAGCCCATAGCAACAGTTGGTGATGGGTGTGCTTGGCAGGGCCATGAGGGATGTTGCTGCTAGGCAGGAGCAGAGGAGAGCTTGTCCAGCCTTCTCAGCTGCAGGGTGCTTAGATAGCACCCCTGCACACCAGGGCTTGCCCTCGGGTGTCTCTCTGTTGGGGTGTAGCCCTTAGGGCTCACTGTGGGGCAGACTTTACCCCAGAGAATACATGGCTTTCTGGATGCCTGGACAGGAAACAGCCACATTAAAGCTCTAGGGCTGTCGTGCACAGGTCTTGGAGGACACTGCAAGGTACTTGAGGATGGGCTTGGGCTGGGTGAGGACTGTGCAGGGAGAGATGAGGTTGCCCTGCTGAAGGGTTGGAGAGCAGAGGCGGGGGCTTGGAATCTAAGGATGGCAGGCACTGGACTGAGAGCCAGCAAGACAGAGCACTGGCAGCTTCCGCCTTTGTGCAGCCTCCTGTCCCATCCAGAAGTGCCTTCTAGCTCCAAGCCTGGCCTTGTTGGTGCTGTGGTTGTCGTGTGGGGCAGGTGCCCTGCCTCAAGCCTCCCTCCCCTCGGGGGGGGGGGGACTTGATGACCAGCGGGGAGGCCCCATGTGGTTTAGGGAGTAAGAGACACCTGCCTGGCCAGGGGATGGGCTGAGCTGCAGGGTCATAGTGGGACTGGCAGCCTCACCCTGAAAGGGCACCTGGACTGTTTGCCCAGTCATAGTCACTCTTGTCTCTCCCTAGTTGCTTTACTGTAGCAGTTAAACATTTTATTGATGCTCTATAGCAATAACATTTAGGAGAGCTGAAAAGCAGTCACGTAAAAGCACTGAGGGGAAATCAAGTGAAATCCTGTGAGCGGTTTCATGACAGCATGTGCCCAGCTCCGTAGCACTCTACCTCGGGAGGGTCAAGAAGTCCGGGCGTTACTGTACGGCTTGGCCTGAAGCAGAGACATGAGGTGTGAGACCTACAGAGGCTCTCCCAGCTCTGGGCCTCCTTGCAGCAGCCTCTTCGTGGGGTGATGGTGGGAGGCACTGGGCCAAGCTGAGGGATGGATGGGGCCCGAGGATGCAGGTTTCAGACAGTCATTGCAGCCGATCTCTGCTTGGATTTCCATGTTCAGCCCAGAGCAGTCATAGCACATGTCCTGGGCTGAATGTGGGCTGCATGGGTGGTGTCTGAAACACTCAACAGAGTTCCTGAGCAGGCCTGGTGCTGGTGGTGAGTGCAGAGCTTACTGCTCGCTCCAGGCTCCCACCTGGGGGCTCCAGTTCACTCTGTTGTCAGTGCCCCCACCCTCTAGAGCCCTGGCACCTGTGTGGGCAGGCTGCTCACCTAGAAGTCCCCAGTGGTCCTACTGCTGCTGCTAAGCCTGGCTGGAGAGGGGCTGTTCAGCCTCTCTGAGCTTCAGTGTTGATGCCACAGGGTGGCCATGGGATGACCTGCGGAGGGCGGCCTGCAGCGCCCAGTACCTGCCCTCCTGGTGACCAGGTGGTGGTGTTGGGTGTGTCAGAACTCCTGGAGGGCTGTGTTGCTGTACGGACTATGAGTGCACCAGGGAAAAGGCTCAGGACTGGGAGCAGGGACAAATAAGAGGTCTAGGAAGCCTGAGGACAGGGACCTGAAAACTGCTATCCTTGAGGCAGATCAGGGGGTAGATGGCATCCTACAGAAGGGGTATGGGGGCAGGGGCATAGGCAGAGGAGTGGTGGCAACCTGTCTTCATTTCTTTAAAAGTAAGGAAGTGCCAAAACAGGTTTATGGAAAATGTGATCAATTCAAACCGTGCAGTTGGCACTTGTGTCTTTTCAGTCACATGTGGACAGTGGTGAGAGCTGGGCAGGCCCAGCAGGGTCATTGGGGCAGGATGGCCTTGTAGGATCCCGATTATGAATCTGTGCACACTTGGTTGCACGCCTCACAAATTGCTCTGTTCTCAGCAGCAGTGTGTGACACCCTTATGCAGAGGTGGTCTCCACCACAAGTCAGACCAACTGGACAAGACCAGTAGCAGTGAGGTGCTGTGATGTGTACTAGGTCAGGGAGAACAGATCATGGAGCGAGCCTTGCTTGAGGGCAGGCATACTCCTCTTCCATCACAGCTCAGAAGCCACGGGCAACAGGCCCTGTGCCTTGGGTGCAGCATGACCTCGAGGCTGCCAGTTTCTCGAAGCCTCACACTCTGCCTGGGTGGGGACAGCACATAGTATATGGGCATGTGAGGCAGCACCTGCAGAGTGCCCTTGGGAAGACAAGCAGGGCAGGAAACTCAGCACCTGGCCATTTTCAGGGCCTTTGCTTGAGCTGTTAGCAGATTCCCTGAGGGCAGGCCAGCTGGCCCTGCCCACCTCTTCTCCAGCTTCCCACTGGCCACTGCTTTCTGTGGAGGGTAAACTGGTCAGTGGTTACCCGGAGCCATGCTGCTGGTTTTTTGTTTGTTTCTGTTATTTCGAGCCAGGGTCTCCCTAAATTGTCCAGATTGGAGACAAATTTGTAATCCTTCTTCCTCACCCTCCCATAGTGCTGGGACTGTGGGTGTGTATCACTGTCCTGGCCAACTACTGGTTATTGATTGCGGAAGCAGGGAACCCCAGAGCTAGGAACCACAGAACCCCCAGGCAGGGCAGGAGACTGGGATGTTTCATGGGCTCAAATGAGCTGGTACCTGGAGGACTCAAGGTGGGCTGCTGGCGAGGCACCCCAGAAAAGGCCAGCAGGATCACAAGTGGGCTGTGGGGTGACAGGTGTGACAGCTCCAGGTGTGATCATGGCAAGGTTCCCTCCCAACCCATGGCTATGGGATGTGAGCGTGCCACTTGGGGTACTTCCTGTCGGATGAGGTGTCATCTGGGGGTTACTTCCTGTGGGTGTGAAGGTATCATTTGGGGATTGCTTCATGTGGGAGTGAGGTGACACCTGCAGTTTACTTCCTGCAAATGTGAAGTCATCTGGGGTTAGTTGCTGTGGGAATGAGAGGTCACCCAGGGTTACTTCTGTGGATGTGTAAGGGTCATCTGGGTAAGGCTGCTGCGGCCCTGGCCCCAGTCTAGCAAGAACCAGAAAACTTCATGCCTTTTTTGTGCTGCGGCTTGTGTGAGCCTCCACACTAGGTAGGCTAAGATGCCATGTTTCTGGGGCCCCAGGAGCTGGCTCATCACAGAGCCCTGTGGTTATGGGCCCTCCCCAGTCCATGCCTTGGGGGGCTGTGATCCAGCCAGTGAGCCTGCTTGGGGCACTACCTCCAAGTAGACAAAGTCATCAGCCAAGGACCAGCCCCCCTCAAGATAGGTGTCTTTTGTCAGGCTGTCTCCACCTATTGATGGCCTTTCACTCTTCTCCCTGTAGAAGGACATGGCCCTGAAGCCACATGAGCGGAAGGAGAAATGGGAACGTCGCCTCATTAAGAAGCCCCGGGAGACGGAAAACTGCCCATCCTCAGAGCCCAGTGTGAGCAGGCAGCCCCTGGAAGCCAGCAGCCCCGGGCAGGATGTGGAGCCCACCTGTGACGGAGGGGCCAGAAAGGTCCCGCTACAGCCCTCGAAACAGGTGAGCAGCAGGGTCTGCCCTGGGACCACACCAGCACTTGGATACCACCTGCGGCACCCAGGCCAGCCTGGCAACGTGCTCCATCGTTGCTGGGTACAGGGTATGGGGCACATGTGATGGGTTCAGGCAGACAGGCAGGAGGCTAGGATGCTTCACAGAGGTGCAGGCCTCTCCAGGGCCTCAGAATTGCAGGGCTAGGGGGCGGGGGTCAGTGCCAAGCTGATAGGCTGGCCCCGTTTCCCGATGCTGCGTCGGTCAGGCTCCGCCGACCCTGGCGTCCAGTGTGTCTGTGATGAGCTGGGAACCAAGCACAGCACTGCGCGCTCAACTGCTGTGCACATGGCACTGTGTGCTAGACCGAGGCATGGGGGAGGGGAGTGCCAGCTGCAGCGCTGTGGTGGTGGTCAGGATGCACGGAAGGATTGGGACCTGGGGACACCTGCCCCATGGCCTTTGTGCCTGGGTGGAGTCGAGGCCAAGACCAGGAGGGACTGTTAGGCACACAGATGCTGGCCGTTCTGGCTCCCAGCTCAACTGCAGTTGCCTTCCTCCTGGGGACTGGGCCTGTGCCTTCCTTCAGAGGAGCTTTTCTCAGCGTACCAGGCCCTGATTCATGCTCCATGGGAACTGGGCTCTGGTGGGAGCAGCATGTCTCTGGGCCCGGGCTGGAGGGGGGTCCACAGGCACCTGCCCAGGTGGACACGTGCTCTTTCTTCCATGCAGGTGTGCTCCCCAGAAGGGGGGCCGCTCCCAGCCAACCCTTGGCACCAGAACGGCCCGGCCCAGCACCAGCAGCAGCACCAGCCCAGCCAGCCCAGCCAGCCCCAGGGGCCCCTCCCAGCCCCGTGTCAGCGCTGCCAGCCCCGTCGGGCATCCCCGGACCCCGGGCAGTCCTGCCAGCCCCAGCGGCCACCCCCAGCTCAGCGCAGCCAGCCCCAGCGGTCACTTCTGGGGCTGAGACAGCCCTGCCGGCCCCGGAGGTCACTTCTGGGTCCCAGTCAGCACCGCCAGCCCCAGCAGCTGCTTCCGGTCCCAGATCAGCTCTGCCAGGCCCGGCGACCTCGCCTGGCCCAGCCCCGCAGGCCACTTTGGCCAGGCCCCCAGCAGCGCTGCCAGCGCCTAAGGTCCCTCCTGGCCCCATGGCACCGCTGTCGACCACTGCGGTCCCTCTTGGCCCCATGGCACCGCTACCGACCACTGCGGTCCCTTCGGGCCCCATGTCACCTCTGCCGGCCACTGCGGTCCCTTCTGGCCCCATGTCACCTCTGCTGTCCTCTGCGGTCACTTCTGGCCCCGTGTCACCTCTGCCGGCCCCTGCGGTCCCTGTGGCACTGCTGCAGGCCTCTGCGTTCATGGACTACTCCTTGTCTCTCTGGCCAGCCCCGTAGGGCTTCTTCTGGACAGTGTTGCCGGGCACTGCGGTCCCTGCTAGCCGTCTGCCCGCGCTGCCAGCCCCCACGGTCACTCCTCACCCTGCGACCACGCCGCCGGCCTGCCAACTCCCTCTCGTGCCAGTGTTGCTGCCCCCGGCGGGCACTCCTAGCCCCATGTCAGCACAGCCAACCCCGCAGGTCTCTCCTGGGCCAACCCAGCCAGTCCCGGGGGTCTCTGCTGGGCCTCAGACAGCCCCAGCAATTAGTAAAAGCCCCCAAACAAACTGGCACCCCAAAGCCTCCCCTGCTGGGCCCTGGCCAGTCACAGCAACTGAAGCGACCACTCATGGGCCCAGAACAGCTCCGCTTGCCCAAGCGGCCCCTCATGGGCCCAGAGAAGCCCTGCCAGCCCCTACTATCCCTTCTGGGTCCAAGCCAGCCCTGCAAGCCCCAGCCATTACTTGCTATCCCTGAGCGCCCCTCGCTTTTGGGGCAGCCAGGTCCACCCCGCCGGCCTCTCCTGGGGTCCCTGAACCAGCCGAGGCGGTCCTTGCTGGATCTGGTGCCAGCCCATCAGCCCCAGGTCTCGCTCTTGGCCCTGGGCCGTCCCTGCCAACCCCTGAGGTCACGGTGGACCCGATCCTCTGCCCCAGGTGTGGCCCGCCAGGCCCCATCTGTGAGCCCTGGAGCCTGATGTCCACAGGTATCCTCTGGATTTTGTCAGCTGCCCATAGGGTGTGAGCAGGAACCTAGGGACTGCTGGACTGGCCCGAGGCCATCTCCAGACACAGCCTGGCTGATGGCTGTTGAAAACTGAGGCTCAGCCAGGGACTGGAGTCCCTACTATGCCATAATCAGGCTAAGGCCTATCGTGCCAGGAGGAAGGAGCTGAACCTGGTGTCTTCCCACCACTCCATGTGCTTTCCCCCCACTAGTGTCACGGTGACCCCCAGTGTGTGCCGATCTGTGATGTACACGCCCCCAGGAGAGGGCACATAGCCCTTGGGCTGGAGCCTGCCAGGACCTCAGCATCTCTCTCTGTGCCTCTAAATTGCCAACACTGTCTCTGCATCTCTGAGTCTCCATGTACGTGTGCAGTTGTGCATGGGTGTGTATGTATGTTGTGTGTGGGAAGGTGTGCATTTGTGCCTGTGCATGGTGTGTGCCTGGGCACATGTGGCGGGATGCCAGCCTGGGCCTTACTGACCTTGGCCCTGGCTGGCTGGTGTGGTTTCCCTGCCCTAGCCTGGTGGGGGGCTGGTCAACATGTAGAGCTGGCCGGCCAGGCTTCAGCTCCTGGGCCCTTCTTCCTCTGCAGTTGAGGGATGGTGGTATCTGCTTGAGGGTCCTAAGGCTATAGGTGGTAACCCTGGGCCTGCCATCCCATCTCTCAGGGATCTGTTTCCACCCACTTGGGGCCCCTGACAGGCCAGCTCTCGGGTTCTATAGATTGGGGAGCTGCAGGATGCAGAATTCCACGACAGGCCTAGAAAGCCCCCTCCCACCCTTCTCTGCTCCCCATCCAGGGCAGTGTTTTACCAGGGCAGTGATTGTTGATAGCACTCAGAAAGATTTTGCACTATAGGGCTGTTCCTGGGTCCCCAATCTTCACCCCAGGGCCCAGTCTCAGGGCAACCCCACACTCAGGTCTCCAGAAGCCCTGGCAAGAATGGGCCCAGTGCAGGAACTGATACTTGGGGGAGAACAAGGAGCTGCCTTTCCAGATCACTGCAATCTGGAAACTAAGTGGGTTAGAGGCTCTGGCCAAGCCCCTGCCCAGTGCCCCACAGACATGGAGTCATCTGAATGCACAACCACTGTGTTCCGGCTGCAAGGACACCTCTTCCCACACTGTTCCAGGCTCCGGCAGGCTACCGACTCAGCCTTTCCCTCCCAGCTCTGGACCCCCGATGCCCCTTGCTCAGCCTGTTGGCTCTGAGCTCCTCCCACCCCAGTAGGCACCTTCTTGGTGCTTACCTAGGGCCACCTTCCAAAACTTGGGGCTTATTTTTTTGATGAAAATAAAAAATGCTATGGCATTATTTTTTATAACAGCATTACTGTTTATAGTTTGGACAAATGTATTTGTGATTGATTCTGACAGGTGGTTTTTACATATTTAGACTTGGCTGCGGTTATTAACTTAGGAGCAAAGGAGCAGGGAGCCCATCTTGCTGGCCTGCTGAGCCCTGCAGGCTGTCCAAGGAGGGGCTCCTGGGAGATTGGGATGGGGACCTAGGGTTCTAATCTCTGGCTTCTGGCCTTGGATGTGCCCAAACTAGACTGCATATTTGAAATTGGTTTGAGGGGAATGCTCATCTTGCCATAATTTTAAGCTCAGTGTCCCCCTGGTGGCTGCCACTACCCTCAGATGCCCCCACAGTTGTTCCAAGTTGCCACGGACTGACAGTGGGCCACTCAGAAAGACCACAGCCTGCCCCTCTACTGCAGAGCCCTCAGAGCAGGGGCTGGAGGTGCCTCCATGTGCATGTGACCTTGGGCCATTGGGCAGCAATGCAATGCAGCTCAGGCCTGTCTGGGCTGGCTGACTCACTGCGGGGCATGCCATTAGGGAGCTAGCTGAGGGGCTCCCTGAGTCCTCTGGGCCCGAGCTGGGTAGGATATGCTGGGTACTTGCTGGGGTATTTACATAGCCTGGCCTCAACTCCTGTGTGCCCTGCCAGCCATGGTGGGCTATGTGCCGAGTCCTGGGGCCTCATCACGGGGGACATGGAATGCCAGGTTTTCCTGGGGGTTTGGCAATTCTGCAGTGCCAGTGACTGATGTGTTCATGACCCGCCTGGTGACCTCAGAACATGGCTCTGGGCCTGCTCGGGCTGGGGCGGGTCATGCCTGAGATGTGGGCTTGGGTCCTGTAGGTGCAGGGTGTGGAGTCAATTATGGGTGTCTGTGGTCATCTGGGGGCACTGCCTGGCTACCAACCCTTGAGAGAGAAGAGTAACACCCAAGTAGCCACCGACAGCCAGCCTCTTCTGCTGGAACCTTGCATGCCCACCCAGCGCTGCTGTGGGGTAGGGAGCCAGCTGAGAGGCTGATGGGTGTCTGCTGAGCCCTAGACAAATAGGGTGAGCGTCATGTTGTGTTCAGGGGTCAGGGTGGCTCCCAGAAGTGACTCGGGTAATTTACTGTGCCTGGGAGGCAAGGTAGACCCTGTAGTGGAGCTTGGTCGGTACTGAGTCACAGCACATCCTTCCGGCAGCCAGCCTGGTTCTTCCCTGGGGTCTCCATATGAGTGTGTACGTGTGTACACACGTACACTTGTGCACTGGCATGGGCCTCTGGAGGTGCAGGTGTCTCCAGCTTCACCTGGCTTCCAGCAGGCACTGGAAATCAGACCCAAGTTCCACCCCATGGGAGGAAGCTGCTCAGACCTCGGTTTGCCCCACAGGTGCCCCAATGTGCCACATCAGCAGAGCCCGCCTCCCTGACCCTCTTCTAGCTGGAGAGCACATGCAGGTCAAGGACCCGCTGTGAGGAGGTAACTTGGAGAGGTGCCTGGCAGAGGGAGAAGTTGATGGCAAGCCTGGGAGGCAGGGCACAGGGCAGAATGGTTCCAACCTGTAAGTAGAAGGGGAAGTTCCGGAGGGCCTTAGGGCTGGGCACAGT